TGACATGTAAAACAATCTTGTTTCTAATTTAAATAAAAAAATTTTTTAAAGTGCACTTGGGGCTAAATAAATGTTCCATGGGGGAGCAGGGGAGACACCAGGTACTCAGTATCATCTTTCTGCTGACATCATAGCTGGGTAGAACCATGAACTCTGGAAAGTGTCAGGACAGTAGGGAGCAGTTAGGGAGCCGAGCCAATGTTGAAACAGAAGTGAAAAGGGAATTTTAATTGGAGGCATACTTTCTGCTGTTTTAAATACTTTTTGGGAATTTACATTACTTTCTGGAAGGGCACAGAAACAACACATAGTGGTTCTTCCTTAATCAATCACTCTTAGGAGAAAAGAATTACTCCCAATAACTGAATTGTTCAAATCACTAAGGGTAACTTTTCTAAGAACTAAAATGCATTCAATTAACTATTTACTATATAAATATTCCTAATGAAAACATGTTTCTCTTCATCTCTGGCTAGCTTAACCTTTCCTTGATAATCTAAGACAATCTGCATCAAACATTCTGAATGGCAATTATTTTCCTATGACTTCTAATTTCTTTACAGATATTTTCCAGAACTACTGAATAAATCATCCTTGTCTCTGCACTTCAGTTTAATGACATATAGAACTTTATATTCCCTTTTTGCATTAGCTTGACCTAAAACTTCATCCCTTACTTGTTCCTCTGTATTGCACGTGACTTCCCAAACATGTGGTGTATTGTTTGCTCCTATTGCTTTATTCATCTCAAGTGCTGCCCCTCCACTGCTGGCTGATGGAAATCTTTCCATCCCAAAGCTCACCTTAGAAACATCCTTGTCCAGAAAGCCATTCTTGTTCCCTCCCCAGTCTGAAGGAATATTTCCCTCTTCTACTCTACCTCTTCTTATTTGCCTCCTGGAACTGTTTTAATGCTTTGTAATTTTAATCACTAAAACATCCTTTGATAATTGGAAATTATCAAAATATTGTTTGTTATTTATTTAAATTACAATTCATGATTGCTCTCTCTCTCTCTCTCTCTCTCTCTCTCTCTCTCTCTCTGTGTGTGTGTGTATGAGCACATGCCACATATACTAGGGTATACATCTGGAGATCAAAGACTATTTGGGAGAGTCACTTTGCTCTTTCTACCATGTTGGTTCCTAGAGGTGAACTCTGGTCATCAGGCTTGGCAGCAGGTGTTCTTACCTGATTAGCTGTGGGGGACCGAATATCCCTGTTATGGAATATTCTGGGTTCAGGCCCTGGCTGACATAAACAGTAATTTAGCCAGGAAACTCCCAGTCACTATTGTATTGTTAATTAACACCAAGCTGTTACTGTTTACCTGGCCTGAGGGTAATATCCCTCTTATTTGCATCTGTATGGGCCTAAGCATCTGAATAGGCCCTCACCTGGGCGGAGGCCTAGAATAATGGATGAGGACAGAAGGGGAGGAATGAAACAGTCGAAGGCCAGAGGGAGAGAGGAGGACAAAGAGAGAAATGGTTGTGAAGGGACCAACTTCCCTTTAGGCAGCCATAATGGCCGAACACGTGCTTCTATGACCTTGTCCTAGACACTAGAAAGTCAGATGCCTGTCTTGTGACAAGGAACCAATCAGAAGTTAGCTGGTGGCACTATGCTTTACCACCCTGGGTGTGCTTTATGGACAAGCGCACAGCAATGACGCACAAAGTATAGCAACCACCCTGGGAGGGCCTATGGGCCATAACAACCAGTTGACTAATCAACACAGGGCAAGCCCTCCAAGCCTGGAGGCACACATATCTTGGGCCTGTGCGTACCCCTAGACACTCCCCTTACGCTGTCCTATAAGATCCCTTGGGAGGCCCTAGGAGCCTTCTTTTCTAGCCATCCACCATGGCGGGTGGGTGAAAAACCCGAGCTAACATGGGGTTAGCTCGTTAAATTACAATAAAGCCTCCTGCAGTTTGCATCAAGCTCTTGAATCCGCCTGGTCATTGGGGTGACCGTAGTCGTGGCCTGGGACCCCGGATACCTGAGTTTTCCGGGGGTCTAATAGTTGCCTCGTGGTACTAGCATGTGGTTAAGGGACACCAGAAAAGATGGCTAATAAAGGAATGGCTCTAGTTCCACAACATGGAACTGAGAGAGCTCTGAAGATGACAAGATGCCTGTGTTTGGTCTTTATCGCCATTGGGATACTAGAAGCTTCCAAGTCCACACACCCCCACTCAGGTAGAAACTCATGGCTCTCGTGGGTTAAAGCTGAGAGAAGCCAGGCCACGACAATTAGCCATTTCACTTGCCCCTAGTCACCTACGGTTATCCTCAATTTACAGATAAATAAATAAAGGCTCCTAAGAAGTACCAACCCTAGACTCTTAACAGAGCTACCCTTCTGTACTTCCAGCACTAATGAACCATTAAACATTCCACCACTGCCCACTCACATTCCAGTCTGAGACAAAACTAATGTCACTAGCACACAACATCCAAGATTGGTTTAATCCATCAATCCCAGGAACCTCAAACCTAGCTCAGCTGTGAAATCAATTAAACAGCTTTTAAAGAGACCTGCTTGACCTAGACCAGAGCTCCTGAATCAGAACCTATAATCAGTATCTGTGAGCAGGCACCCCACTTTTCTTTCATGTAGCCCTGGATGGCCTCAAACTTGCTATCTAAATAGAGTATGACCTGAATTCCTGATTGTTCTGCCCCCATCCAGGTACCACTATGCCTGTAGGACTCTTGATTTCTTACTCACCACTGTTACTGCTGAGACTCAACTCATTGGACCTCTTCGTCATTTCAGCACAAAAAGCCTAAAATAAGCAAAGCACAGCAGTCATAACAGGGAGGGCAAGTGTTGTAATCAAAATCTCTGCCTGCATACACCACACCACTCTCTCCTTAGGCTCCATTCCCACTACCACAAGTCCTTAGGCCACAAGCCGGCTTTAGACAATCCAAGAGAGCATGAGCAGCACGATGAACTATACTAGTGCAGTGGTTCTCAACCTGTGGGTGGAAACTCCTTCGGGGTCAAATATCAGATATCCTAAATATCAGATATTTACATTATGAGTCATAACAGTAGCAAAACTACAGTTATAAAAGAACAACAGAATAATTTTAGGGCTGGGAGTCACCACAATACACGAGGAACTGTATGTATTAAAGAGTCATAGAATCACTGTATTAGAACATCTGAGAAATGAATACAGGCAAAATTAAAAGAAAAACAAAACCTGGTAGAATTTAGGGAATGTATAAGGATTCATTTATTCAATAGGTATTAATGTAGGTACTGCATTAAAGCTCAAATAAAAATATAGATCACTTCTAAATGTTATGAGCATATCAAACTGTTTTATATGGGTTAATTATTGTAAAATATTTAAAATTGGATCTGATTCATAATGAATATTCAATATATGTTAGATAAGGTAATTATTGTTACATAATAGTCTACAGAAAAAAAGTCACTATTTCCAGGCATATCCTTTAAGAGAGAGTCTACTTGAAATAAATGAAATTTATTTAGATGTTTGGACACACCTTATCCAATACCTTTCTTATTCAAAGCTGATACAATGGGCAATAATTAC